CGTTGCAGGCGTTAAACGGCACGGTGATGCCGATGCTTCTTGAATCGGAAAACTTCTCCGGACCTGCTCGACATTCTTCCTGATGGAAATGGTCCATAACGAAAACGTAGCCGTCGAACGGCTTCTTGGTGGACGCTCGAACTCCGACACGATCTGGGCCACAAATGATGTCCGGAGTGCCAGGCCCTGAAGAATACCGGGTGAGAAGTGCTGTTCTAGCACAAAATTGACAAAAATCTGATCTTGGAAAGGTGCACATCATTTTCGGAATCGTCCATTTTCAACGATGAACTTGGACTTAAAGGCACAACCCAGGCAGAGGTCGTGTGAACGCTTCCCTTCGGTCTGTAGTATAGACCCTAGAGGACAATCACAAATGTGGCGTTCCCGTGCACGGAAACCAACCGACAAGAGCGCTTGGGCCTTGCAAAGTAAGCTGCTGCAGCTGCAATTTTTTCTCTTATCAGGCTGTTGTCTGGCGCCCTCTCATCTGTTGCGCTCTCTCGCCTCATACTCTCCTCTTTAGTCTCTCATTCCCTTAGCACAGCCGATTAGGAAGGTGAGTGAGCCCTTAACCTAAGCGTTTTTGACGGATTCTTTTCCTTTTTTCTTTACTGCCGGCCCATTTCGCACCAATACATTCGCATTCGTGTGCAAGAGCCACACCAATTTGATCCTGGGGCATTTCCTTAACTTACGACTCCGCTTTCGCAGAAATGAACCGTTTTGAATTCTTCCACTGCACCCAACGAGGGAGGAGCTTTCATGAGAGCACCTCAAACCCATAAAGGTGCTGCTACTGTTTCAAAACTGCTTTTGAACCCCCTTTACGAGTTTTCAGCACGAAAAGATGAGTGGGACGTGCTAAATATGTAAGTGTGAGCTCATCCTCTTCGTAAGGAAGAAAATTTTGGTGGGCAAGGAAAAATGACTTACTGAACTCAGTTTTGCACATGTCCCATGTGAGTGAATCGGCGAGCGACTTGTCGAGTTGTTCGAACGACTCGACCGTGAAAACCCTCACAGGATTACCAGTGATCGGAAATGTAAATATAAAATGCATTACACTACAAATCCATTAATGTTTTCTTTTTCTCTTTTATCCTCCTGGGAGGGCGGAAGTGGTGTAGTGGCAAGTGGCACGCTTACCACGCGCGGTCCGGGGATCAAATCCTGGGTCGTGAGTCGCCCGGGCCAACCAAGCCTTCCATCCCTCCGGGGTCGGTTAATTGGTACCAGACTTGTCTGGGAGGATAAAAACACTGACTTGTACATCGGCTGGCCCCCGCAAGTCATTGTATAGGCCACATCGCATTCAAACGCCACTACGAATGTACAAATGGAAGTAGAATGCGTGCCGCATCCCAAAAGGGATTGATCAACGGCAAATGCTTTATCCTTTTATCCTCCTCATCCTCTACACCTTGTATAACTTCGTAATGCATACATTATAACTAATATAATCACCCATCAAATCCGTACGATAGAAAATGAGACTAATCCAAGGCGGCACAAATATTTCGTGTTGCCTTGTTCCTATTTTGGAAATCTACACAGTCACTGGGCTACAGGCCTCTCACAATTGTTTTGATGGGTGCCGGTAATCGCTCGAGTCTAGCGTCATCCAAAGTT